TGTGAGCGCTTGTCTGTCCCCGCGTATATGCTCTGATATAGCCGGATTTGTAAGGTAGAAGCGGGGTCATGACAGTGGGGGAGGGGATGGGTGTTAGGAAGCATTAAAAAACTAAAGGTAAGTTGTGTGTTTTGCTGGTACTATACTGTACCCTGATTGGTTCGTCTTTTCCTTGTGACCCTTCTGTAATTGGATGTCCAATTGTCTACAGATGGGCTTTGGGTCTCTACTTCACCCTCCCCCTCATTCCCATCAACCTGCTCCCTTTGACACCTCATGATCACACAGGCTGGTGTGCTTCTTCCATGCGGGCTTTGTTGCTTCTCAGCTAGATGGCTGCTTGTTTATCTTTTGATAGCTGGGCACTATCTGCTCTCTTCACCACACTTACTTATGCACCTATTTTGTTTTCAGCGATTGTGTGAGGGAAGGTGAGCAACACAGAATGCTGGGTTATTAGAGTAAAGTGTTCTTGTGTTGAGTGGAGGCTCAGTGTCCGTCTGTTGCCTTTTTACTTCACATAAAATATGTGTACATAGATCTATTTCCCTATCATTAAATGTATTTACATATGTACATGGCTGTAGTTAGACCTCTATAAATGTCCTTTGCCTCCTTGTTCTTTCCTCCATTTCCTTTTACTTTCCTCTTGTCCCACTGTCATGTTCAGCCTTCATTCATGTTTAGGTAATTCCTCGCGGCTACTTTGCCCTTATTCAAGCCCAAAATATTTCCTATTTATTGTTTATTAAGAAAACTATAGATTAAATGCATAGAAGATGAAAGAAAGCTTGATTTGAAAGCACAAGAAAATAGAAGATGAACTAACTAGAAATATTCCCTTAATTTTTTATTAGAAGACTCAATAGTGTTAGGAGTCATTTCTTCCCCCTTTGGATCTGTACTTTAAGTACAACTGCTACCAGTTCTAGCAAACTACCTTGTAAAAACTTAAAGATGGTTTTAAGTTTTATGTAGGAAATAAAATAATCTAGAATATCCAACACAACACAGACATACAAATTGAAGCTCTCACATTAGTCAAATTCAAGACTTACAAAGCAACGGTAGTGCCAAAAGAAACATACATATATCATTGGAAAAAGAACAGAATTTAGAAAAAATACCTGCAGAAATACAGGTAATGCAATAAAAACAAAATATACTTAGCAAGCGATGGACAACCAGTGGGACAATTGGGCTGACCCAGTACTTGTTGAGTTGTTAACCACCAGGTCAGCAGTTCTAATCCCGTAAAGAGTTATAATTTCAGAAACCCACATGGGCAGCAGTACCCTGACCTATAGGGCGGCTGTGAATTGGAATCCATCCAAGAGCGGTGACTTTTTTGTGAAGGTGTTTAAGCATTCAGCTACTAACCACAAGGTCAGTGGTCTGAACCAGCTATCTGTTCATGGCGTGTGGAGGAGGAGGAGGAAGAGGAGGAGGAGAAGGAGGAGGACTGTGTGAATTATAGTGATGGCGAAGAATATTGAATCCACTATGGACTTCCAGAGCAATAGGGAACCCTGGTGGTATGTTGGATTACACATTGGGCTGCTAACTGCCAGGTCGGTATTTTGAAACTACCAGCCAGTCTGTGGGTGAAAGAGCAGGCTTTCTACTCCAACACAGAGTTACAGTCTTGGACACCCACAGTGGCAGGGTCTATAGTGTCCTACAGTGTTTTTGCTGTTCATTCAAGATAAATACAATTCCTTGGAGTTATAAAGGTAATTAAACATGAACTCTTTTCTTTTTTCCCTTAACTCTAACTCTATTAAATATGAACTATATGTAGCCTCAATTAACATTATTAACTTGTCAATATAGAACATGCCTTATTGTTTGTATTAATACTAAACATAAAAATAACCAAGAATATGACAGGATATATTAAAGAGGGATGATATAATAAATATAAAAGAGAGATTCTAAAGATACGGTCATGCAAACGGTGGCATTTCTTTATTTAACCATTAGAATTAAGCAAACTCTGTACCGGGTATATTTTGAGAATGAGTAGAGTGTCAAACACAATATAACTCGGACTTTCATGTCACTTTGATTCCAAGAGTGAAAGAACTAATTGACCATTGAATACGCAAACCAAATCCATGGCAATGAAGTCGATTCTAAATTCATAGTGATACGATTAGGGTTTCTGTGGCTATACAGTTGTAAGGGACCAGGTAGCCTACTTTTTCTCCTGTGAAGGAGCTGATAGGTTTGAACAGCTTTCTGGTTAACAGGGCAATGCGTATCCCACAGTGCCACCAGGGATCCTGAAACATAGAATAATTTTTATTAATATGTATTATGAATAATCAATGTCAAGGAAGAAATTTTTTTTAAGTTGAGCTCTGGTTGTGTAAAGTGGAGCTCTGGTGATGGGTTTATTGAGCTGCTAACCACAAGGTCATGGGTTAAAATTCACCAGCTGTTCCATTGGAGAAAGGTGAGGCTGTCTACGCTTGATGACACTGAGTAAATGGAGAGTTGAGTGAAAGGAAGAATGACAAAGTTGCCATATAATAAATTAAATTTAAAACAATGAAGGCTATAGGCTTGATAGTTTATTGTGCCAACCTGGCCTATAAACACATGGGGGGTTAATTGAAGGGCGGAGGGATAAATGACTCGGTGAGCCTGGCCTTTCTAGTTCTCCGGTCTCTTACTTTGTGATGGTTGGACCAGGGTGCAGCTGCCTTAGCCAGTTCCCTGCTTCAGCTGGCAAGGCTCACTTCTTGCAAGACATCCCCAAGGAGAAGCCACATGGACCTACCCTGATGCAGCCCTTGGTGCTGGAGCAGCTGTGTGGAGACCCCTGCCAGCACTGAGATGCTTACAAGTTCACTGATTTGGCTTTCCTCCTGCAGTCGGCATCATTGCATGTGTTTTGTGAGATGGAGGAGGACTTTGTGGACTGATGTTGGACATATGGGTTAATGTTGGACTTGTGAGTTTGGGCAACACTTGGTTGGAATGTTTTCTTGATGCGCACTTAACCTTTATATAAAACTCTCTCTTATACCTGAGTTTCTGTGGATTCATTTCTCTAAAATTCCCAGACTAACACAAGGCTTTTCTTCAGGTTGTCTAATTAAATGTATGTCTGTGTATGCTTTTTTTGTTAGTCACATACTAAATGCAAATTGATGCCTTAATAGACTGAGCGATTGCTCTAATAAAACTATAAAATACATAATAATTCAGGGCACGCCATTTGTTAAATTTGTTAAAGTGTCAAAGAGCAACCATGACACTGTGAGGACTAAGGTGCACTGCACCCAAACCAAGGTATTTTCAATGGTCTCATCCGTATGGGAAAAGTAGATAATAAATGAGGAAGACTGCTGAATAATTGATGAACTTGAAGTATATATTCTAGAAAAACTTTGAGAAAAACAGGCAAATTTGTCTTGGTGGAAATAAAACCAGAAAGCTCCTTATCAGTGAGAATACCTAGACTTTATTTCTTGTACTTTGGACATACTTTCAGGAGAAATCAGTTCCTGGAAAAGCACGTCATGCTTGGTAAAAGACAGGGCCAGTGAGAGAGGGTGATCCTTAATGAGACTGATTGACCCCGGGGCTGCAAGAATGGCCTCAAACATAATTGTGAGGACGGCACGATGCAGGGCAATCTTCCATTCTTTTGGTCACAGCTTTGCTAAGAGTTGGTATCGACTCAAAGTCACCCCAACAATAGTAATATGGTATGTGGAATACAAAGGAAGCTATCTCAGAAAGAGAAAGGGTATGTATAGATACAACAGCTACAGAAAAGATGGCACATTGCATGGCTTTACATAATTCTCTAAGAGTTAAAGTATGTATTTTGAAAATCTCAAATATAAATCTTATGTCCCCTAAGTTGTTGTTGTTATTAGGCGAAGAGCAGTGGAACACAGTTCCCTAGGTATAGAAAACTAATTTTTTTTACCATATGAATTGAATTTTCAAATATATTAGGGAAATTATTATTTATCGTAAAGTTTTAAAAACTTTTAAACAGATAATATAATTCTATTAAATTCACATAAAAAGATAATTGTGACCAGTTGTTATTGGCATCTGATCCATACTTTACAACCTAGACAAAACTTTAAGATATTGAATTTACTTACTATGTGACACAAGTGTAACCTACTCAGGTTCTTTAAGTTAGCCATCATAATCTTTGCTAAATGAAAAAAGCCTGATTTAATTTACAGTCACATGGAGATTTAGAGATATTTTTCAGCTAGATATTAAGCCTGAACACAAATAATTTTCATTTTTCTTTACTATTATGATATGGAAGCACTCTTGCCTTTAGAAATGATTAACATTGTGTGATACATGAAAGAAGTATATCCTAGATAGTTATAAAATCAACTAAATTACTCATTGTAGAGTTCACAAATGATTGCATATATTTCAACACCAAAAAAGAAAAAAACAAACAACCTAACTACCATCAAATCTATCCCCACTCATAGCACCCCTCTAGGACAAGGTGGAATTGTCCCTCTGAGTTTCTGAGACTATAAATCTTTACAGGAATAGAAAAGCCTCATCTTTGTCTCATGGAACTGCTGGTAGTTTTGAATTGCTACCTTGTGGATTGTAGCCCAATTCATAACCACGACGCCACTAAGGCTCTGCTATCTCAACATACATATGTCAAAGCATGTGGAAATATTCGATATTCAAATTGAATTTATAGTTGAAAATGTTGAGGATGAACCAAATGAGAGAATTAACTTGAAAGATAAAGTGATCCCAGCAATGCATAAGGGAACATCATATATATAGCTTATACCATTAAAAAGATGAAAATTCAGGATTAAATATTATACACGTTAGCTAATTGTGGGAAACTCAGTCACTATCAAAACACAAAATAAAATAAAGGAGTATGTTAACAAGATGGTTGTCATATGCTGCTATTTTCAATAAACTTTGAGAGCTGTTTTTTGAAAAAAAGAAATAGTTGTTTGAAAGACCAAAAATAATTATTTCAAGGTAATGAAAATACATTTTTTTATTATATTATTCAGGGCTTGTTTCACTTGTTTATTTCTTAGGGTATATATAAAAGGATTTAAGACAGGTGCAACTGAAGTGGTGAGTATTGCTATCCCCTTATTTAAAGCTACCCTTTCATCGGCAGAAGGTTTAATATACATAAAAATGCAGCTACCATAAGAGATGGAGACAACAATCATATGGGAGGAACAGGTAGAAAAAGCTTTCTTTCTCTGCTGGGCAGAAGGGATTTTCAGAATTGTTCTTATGATGTATGCATAGGAGAGTATTACTAGGGCCAATGTAATCAGCAATGTGACAATGGCTGAAATAAAGCCTATCAATTCGATGGAATGAGTATCTGTGCAGGACAGTTTCAGGAGAGGAGTATAGTCACAAACAAAGTGATCGATAATATTAGCATCACAGAATTCCAACCCTAAGCCCATGATAAGTCCAGGAGAAATTGTTAATAACCCAGCCAACCAAGAGATAACAACTAGCTGGGTGCAGACTCGGCTGCTCATGATCGTTGCATAATGCAAAGGTTTGCAGATGGCCACATAGCGGTCATAGGACATGGCAGCCAACAGGAAAAACTCTGACGCTCCCAAAAAGATGCCAAAAAATAACTGTGCAGCACAAGCATCATAAGAAATTCTTTTATCCATAGTCACTATTACGAACAAATACCTTGGGATGCAGACAGAAGTCAGTGAGATTTCTAAGAATGAGAAATTTCGAAGGAAGAAATACATGGGTGTTTTGAGATGGGAATCCAGGAGTGTGAGCAAGATAATGGTCAGATTTCCAGTAATGCTCAGTAAATATGTCAGCAGTAGAAAAATGAATATTATTATTTGCCATTTGGGGTCATCTGTTAGTCCTAGGAGAATAAAGGTTGTCACCATTGTATGATTTCTCATGAATAAGTTACTTCTGAATTCCATCAAATCTGGGGGCAAAAATAGAAAGTCTACATTTAAAGTCTACATTTAAAAATACTATCAAGGATCAATTAACTCAAATAATCCAGTTGAAAGGCATATGCTTTTTTGCTTCTATGATTTTGAATCATTTCACCCTAGTTACAACACCAGACTCGATCCTGTTTATTGCATCTTCTTCTCCAGGTAAAAAAAACAACCCAAACTCATTGCCAATGAGTCTCTGCTGACTCATAGTGACCCTATTGGACAGGGGAGAACTGCCCTGTGGGTTTCTGAGACTAACTCTTTACAGAAGTAGAAAACGGCTCCTCCTTCTCCCAAGGAGCAGTTGTAGGTTTTCAGCTGTTGACTTTTGGATTAGCAGCACACAGAGTAACCACTATGCTACCAGGACTCCTGGAAGGAGACCTTTAAGCATCTCAACTTGCATAAGAATTATTTCCATAAAAATTCTTTAAATTTTTAAACATCTTAATTTGCATAAAAATTCTGTTGTTTAAAATTTTGCCTAAGGGGCTGAGAAATAACTCCTACAATCTTAGTGAATTCAAAAGAAACTTCAAAGGAAAAAAAAAGCTACATCAAGTATATTTTATTTAAAATAATCTTGTACCCAGAGCTTTAGCTATTATTTTCTGTATGTTTTTGCTGAATACTTTTAGTGTATACTATATATTCTTTTCTGTGTAGTTTTACACTTTAAACAACAAGTCAGGTTTGCATTTTTGTAATTATTGTTTTAAAACCCATTGTATTCTGATGATATATGCTTGGTTAGTGTCTGAATTCCTTTCTATTCTCAATGGAACAAACATTTATGGCTCAGTACAATGTGAATATCAAAATGAGTACATAAATATCAAATCAAAATTTTAGATGAAATGTTAAATTACTCAGTTGTTTGGCCACTTTCAACTTAAACCAAATAGCTTTACTAATGTAAGAAACATAATTTTACAATCAGTAGTGATAAAGGAAAAGAAGACTTAACCTGGTGGTGCATCAGTCAAGCACCCTATTGCTAAAGGTTGACAGTTTGAATCCATCTAGCCACTCCATGGGCACAAGATCCGGCAATCTGCTTCTAGAAAAAGTATGGCTAAGGAAACACTATTGTTTGAATCAATTTTGTTACATTGTCTCAATGAACTCAATAGAACCATATTAAAATATTCAACAATTTATTTAATATAATGGATTAGTAGTCAAATTTATAACAATATATATACACATATGGAAAACTATTGTCCATAGTGCTGCTCTAAAAATATATATTTCACCATCCTTCACGATACATATCATAGGATATGTTCATGGATTATAGAAATATTTTCTTTGTTTCTGATTCTGAATTTAATTGATTTGAATTTATGGTTACATATTGAGTCTAAAAACAATTCTATAGTAATTTACTTGCCCATAAAAAAATACTAAAAATACTTACTTCCCATAGAATCTGCAAGAGTTTTCTTTGGTGATACTTTGTGGAAGTTTTTCCTTTGTATCATTAACCTAAAATGTAATAGGAATTATTGCTGTATTAAAAAGTTATTTCTCTCTAACCCATATTTTTCTGTACTTCTTCACTTGCGATGGGGGTCTTGTCCACAAGGCAATCTAGAAATATTTATGAACAAATATAAACATTGGTGGGCCTCTCCTCTTTCTCTCTCAAATAAGCACAAAGTCAGGGACATTTTCATAATTTTTTTTTCTGATTTTCTTACAAATGTAGCCAATAATATGTGAGTTATTCTAATGCCTTCTTTAAAATCAGAAATTTAAGTTATTTACGTATCAAATATGGCAGAATTTTATTAGAATTCTACTCATTCACCATAGTTCCTGATTTTCTATTGAAAAGGCAGAGTTTTACATCCACTTTACACTAAACTTATATTTTCTCTTTATTAACTACCAAGATATGCACTCAAAACTCATATAGTACTCGAGGGATTCTTGTGGAGAACATGGTAATTGACTATCTTCATCATTATCTTTAGAGAAAAACAAAACAAAATTAAAACATTAATTAAGAGTCTAGTTATATTATCTACTGGGAATCTGAAATACTGATGTCAAAATGGAGTCTAATTTCTATAATAGTGATTAAAATAGCACATAAATAATTTAGATATTTAAAGGTACTTGAACTTAGAGTGGTCCAAAGGTTAAAAATCTCTCCCTTTCTCTCTTTCAATAGGAGAGCAACATAGCAATGCTGGTCTCTAATAACAATGTTGTCCATGATCTTTAATTCATTGTGTATGCTCCAGTTGACTCACAATGTGGGTTTGATGTCAAATATAATTGTTCCTTAATTTCCCATGCAACCTCTTAGTTTGTAATATTTATGCAATAGTAATATGGAAGCGTGAAAAAAATGATATAGCTTTTTAAACATTACTTAATTTAGAGAAAACTGTAATAAAATTTCTTTTGAGAAAAAGCATTTAAAATTTAAGCATATATTTTCGAAGTCATGGAAATATTTATCATTACATTTATATAATTAAAAAATAAAGAAAATGAAACCAAATCTTTCATATTTACTCTCAGACAAAAATATACTTGAAATATGTAAAAGATGAAAAAAGACTTGAATTAGAAACATAAGTATATAGAGCAATTTTTATACAATTTTTAAACAATAATCACTGCTTAAGAAATATATTCTTTTGCGTAGAATTAATTATATTAGACTCAGAAAAACCACTATCAAGCTGTCTCTGAGGGTTCTTAGCAACCCTATCACACAGACTGTTACCCGTCAATGGAGTGGAAAGCTGTGTTGTTCTCCCAAAGAGTGGCTGAAGGTTTTGAACTGCCGACCTTATGATTAGCAGTCCAATATATAACCACTATGCCACGTGGGCACCTATAATTCTATGAGATGATGTCTATAATTTAAATAGTTAATTAGTAAGAAATGTTTCTTTTTATATACTAGTATAGTGTTTTCACATGAGTTTGAAAATTACAGAGAAGCTACCATTGTGAGGGTTTGATAAGGGGAATGGAATTATGGGTTATACAGAAATTTTGTACAGAAATTCGTTTAGGTTGTGAGTAATTATCGGACTGATGAAGAAATATAGGAGAGAATGCTGCCTCTGAAGTTACTGTTAGAATCAGTGCAGGTATTTCAAAAGAAAGCTAGGTATAAAGCAAAAAAAATATTTGTTAAAGATTTAACAATGAGGACTAGAAAGATTTGAGTGCAGTGATATAGCTAGTTATGAACTGATAAAGTAAGTTGAACTACTTATTTTTATTGCAACTGTGGACTGTCAAATAGATATTAGAACAAACCATAGAAAATGATGCCTTTTTCACTCACTTTCTGATTTTGTATTATCAATCCTTATCAGAAGACCAATTGGCACATGAAACAGAGTAACTTTGATCGCATATTCTTATCTCTAGGAGGCACTTTGGGTTAGGTGTTAGACTGCTAACAGCAAAGTCAGTGCTTCAAACCCACCAACAACTCTATAGAAAGATGAGACTGTTTGCTCCCATAAAGATTTACAGTCTCAGAAAATCTATATATGGTAGCTGTACATAGAAAATGACTTGATGGATATGGAATTTCAAGTTATTAAAAGCTAGTTTTTGCACTGATAATCAGCAAATAAGTATTTTCTTTTCTGATTTTGTATGATTTTTAATTTTCTATCACCCTGATGACCACTACGAGACAGTAAATATTAGCAGAAATTCTGTTTCATTTGACATAGGACATGGCGATGCTTTATTCTGTTGTACATAAGGTTACCGTGAGTTGGAAATGACTCAGTGGTAACTAAGAATGACAACTGGTATCCACCATTTTGCCTCCTTTTTGTAAGGCACTGGCAATACTGTAACTGGTGTAAACATTGGCAATGCAAAGTGGGAGAGCTTCTTTAGCAAAATACGTTCCACGGGTATTGGTGCTAACAAGTGTTTTTGTTTTAAACCACTGAAATTCTATGCTGTCTGTAAATGAAGCAAATTAAAACCTGTTATGAATAACATATTTTTCATGGCCTGAAGAACAAAAGCCCTGGTAGCACTGTAGGTAAGCTCTGTATTGCTAACTACAAGGTCAATGGTTCAAACCCACAAAATACTCTACATAAAGAAAGATGAGACTATCCACCATCTTAAAGATCTACAGCCTAAGAAACCACATACAGGAAACATTTTGCTAGCAAATGGTTTGGTTTATGAACAATGGAAGAAAATAACATTCATATACTTTTTTTCCTCTCCTACCCCTATCAATTTTCTCAGCTGTTTTATAAAAGATAGGTTGGTTGTATGATCGTTATAATTTAGACATTAATTTTCAGTTTACAGAGATGTTTTCCTCTGAAATATGACAAAAATGCTATGCAAGAATAAAAAAAAATAATGCTATAGCCTTTTCCTTTGGTGAAGGTACACAGTTGATTTTTTCATTGTCATCGGCTTTGTTTTAGCCAAGTGTATAATGATATTTACATAGCTGTTTTCATAAGTTGTTATATGTTAGATTATTTCTATTGGTATGAGAATCAAAAGGTGGATCTTTGATAAAGTGTATTTGCTAATTAATGTTTTCTATAAATTTCCTAGGGGGAAATTTAAACAAAATAATATTCTACATTCTAGTTTCCTTAGGAAAATTGTGAATTACTAAATTCAAATATTTCCCTACATCTTCTAAAAGCGAGATGGGAAAAATATACAATTGAAAGGAGAGTAATGATTATCTAGAGCTCAAGTGGTCGTTACAACCAGACAAGAAAAGTCACCTCCAAATTCACATTAGAACAAACAAACCGTGTAGTACTTTTGGAACTGGAAGAAAGGTGTCACTGGGTCTATTTTAAAGATTATTCAAATTATTAGCAGGAACAAATTACTTTAATGGCAATAGAACGCATGGAAGTTTTGCATCTTCAAAGTCAAACCCAGAGAGACTCAAGGGCAAGCTTGCTATAAATTATAACATAACCATAAGAAGAGTGATA